CAGACTAATTAGAGTCTTCTGTTTTTTTTATTGCTCTTATCTCATTCTATTTGACACAATTCTCTCACGCGCAGCCTAAAGCCATGAGACCGTGTATCATATCTCACTCTCGTAAAGCAGTGGTAAGAAGATCAACATATAGCAATCTTAATAGTAGTTTCCTGTGAATCGGGGTGTGGGGGGGCGAAGGGGAGCTGGGACCAGGGGCAGAACCCGATAGCCCGCGCACACACCTGTTCTTCTCCAGTTTGTTGTGGACTTCTCTGGTTCCGATCCTGCAACCCAGACAGACAGGAGGCTCAGGGAGGGGGGCCCGATTAGGCGGCCTTCCTGCCCCGACCCCCAAGCCAAACGCCACGGGCTTTTCCTCCGGACTCTTTCTCTAAAAGCAGCAAGGGGAGATGTGCACCCCGTGGAGGGCGCATGTCTGCCCATAATTCACAACCCCTTAACCCTCCATCCCGCCTGAGACACAAGGGCTCCTCGGAGAGATAGGGAGTCGACCCCAGCCCTCACCCAGGGGACCCAGAATGCGACACTCCTTCCAAAGGCCACAAATACCATCAGCTCCGGCCTCGGACGGAATCGGAGAGCAGAGGGCAATGCTCATACCCCTGCCCGAGGGCCCGGCACAGCGAGAATGTGTGAAACTCAGGAGGGCGCTTTTTTGGTTGGCGAGGTAGGGAGGGCATGGCTCTGAAGGGCTAGCTGGGAGGGTACTTCCTCTTGCACACACAGCCCCTGGGGGCGGGCAGTTCTCTCCATTCCACCAGCCCCACCTCGGCCACAACTCACTTACCCCCCAGGCCTCTTCTTCTGTTCGCCGGATTTGACTTCTTCCGTTGGTGCCAACTTCAGGGTCCCAAGAGCGGGTGGGGGTGGCTGCTGGGGGGCCAGCTGGGGCTGGACTCCAGGGTGGGGTGCTATGGTCAGGATGGGTGTGGGGAGGGGCTGCAAAGGCTTGGGGCTGCCGGTGGGCTTGGAGTCTGGCAGTAGAGGGGCAGGGGTGGGCATCTGCGGCCTGGTGGGCAGGGGA